GGAATGGAATGGAATGGAATAGAATGGAATAGAATAGAATAGAATAGAATAGAATAGAATAGAATAGAATAGAATAGAATAGAATAGACTAATAGACTAGACTAGACTAGACTAGACTAGACTAGACTAGAATAGAATAGAATAGAATAGAATAGAATTCTTGATTGGCCAAGTGTGATTGGACACACAAGGAATTTGTCTTGGTGCAAATGCTCTCAGTGCACATAAAAGAAAAGACACATTTGGGGGTGGACTAGAAGACCTCCAAGGTTAGGTTTCTGATGAATCATCCGGGTTTGTCTCTGCCCTAGAGAGAACATCAGGGACAACAGCGATGGCTACCTGAGGAACTGCACTTTCAACGAAACCACAGATCTTTACTGTCCCATCTTCAAGTTGGGCTTTATCGTGGAGCAGGCAGGCGAGGATTTTTCCAAACTGGCTCAAAAGGTAACCGTCTTATTTTGGCCACGGCAGTTTGTCTCGTTATTGTGATAGGTAGGGAGGCCCCTCTGTTTGGGGTGTTGTGGGGCAGGGAGAGGAAGGAGCAGTGGTCTGGGTGCTAGTCTTCTCAGTCCCAGGAACCAGCTGGATGACCTTGGGTTGGGCCACCCCCATTCAGCCAAGTATGGTGTGGTGAAGGTGTTGGGAGTGTTAGGGTAATAAATAAAGGAAAGAAATCAAATATATGATAGCATTAAGTAGAGAGTTACTCTATAGGCATATTTTATCTAGATGTTAGGCAATTGTTTTCCTATGTATTGTCAGAAGTTACGATTCCCGCCTCTTCTAGGAAAACAGCCGCCACCCTTTGTCAAGTAGGGTGCTTGACAAAAGCACCCTACTATTAAAATAGCTGGAGCCAGCTTACTTTTCACAACAAAGGAAGGAGAAAATTACAGGCATGAGATACAGAGAAAAAGCCCTACAAACTAGCTCTTTTCCATAGAAATCAAATAGATGGCAAGTTATAAAAACTTATGAAAAGCAAACCAAAAGGCCTGGCAAGAAGGAAACATGATAGCAAACAAGCAACTACAAAGGATCAGGACCATACAACCGAGATCCCAGGAAAAGAATTCAACACACACACTTGTCTGAAATGGTCTAGGGTCTCCTGCTTGAGCATGGGCTGGACTAGAAGACCTCAAAGGTCCCTTTTAGTTCAATTCTGATTTTTTCTTTCTTTCTGGCTCTGCCTTTGCCCTTGCAGGGTGGTGTGATCGGTGTGATCATTAACTGGAATTGCAACCTTGACCTGCCGGACTCCGAGTGCAACCCCAGATATTCCTTCCGCAGGCTGGACCCCAAATGGACTCAGGCTTCCTCCGGCTACAATTACCGGTAAAAATATATATATATATTCGCTGATTTTTTTTCCTGGAAAACAAAAGAAAAAGGCCTTTGGGGGTTTCATCTTTGGTTTGTCAGGGTGTGTTAAAGAGTGCCAAGGCTGGCCTCTAGCTTGCTTCCCCCTTCGCAACCGGTCAGCCTAAAATATTTGCAATGGGGGAGAGAGGACAAATTAGAGTGTGTGTGTGTGTGTGTGTGTGTGTGTGTGTGTGTGTGTGTGTGTTGGGATCCATGCTGTGCCGGGCAAGGAGGCGGCACTGCTCCAGCTCAAGGTCAACTGAAAGTATGCAGAGATGGAGAAGCTACAAGGAAACTCGTGTTTCCCAAAACAAGATAAATATTGCATAATTGGACACTGTCTGCTTGCAGGTGTGGGGAAAGCGGCCAGGGAAAAGATCACCAGGGTGAAGTTTTCACGCCCCGCTTGCCAGATTCTGCTTCTCTTTGTAACCATTTATTGCTCTGGTAAAACCAGCCTCTTGGGTGAAAAAATCTCAGGCCAGGAGAGGCTCCTTTGGCTAGCTGACCAAGCGGGAGAATAAAAATCAAAACGGTGTAGATGTGACAGTCGCCCTAAAATCCCGATTCCCTAAGTTTCCCCAAGAGAGGAAAAGCAAATCTGGCCAGATTGGAATGACTGAGAAGAAGAGTTTCATAGCCAGATAACAGATAATCAGAGTTGGAAGGGACCTTGAAGGTCATCTAGTCCAACCCGCTGCCCAAGCAGAAGACCGTATCCGAAAGGTGTGTTTTTTTTAATCTTTGGATTAAAAAAAACAACAACACCCCAACTGCCAGATCGCCTTTTTTAATCATCTTCTCAAGCCAACCCCCAAAAGAAGCTGTTCTCTTTCTGGTGTCACCCATAAGAGTTAAACCACCAGATCTGGGGGGGAGGGGGGGGGGAACCCACCACGCTCTGCTTTTAATTCCCCAGATTTGCAAAGTATTATCAGCATGGTGGACGAAGCACACGGACCTTATTCAAAGCCTATGGGATCCGCATTGATGTCTTAGTGCACGGGCAGGTAAGGGCCACGCCAAGTTTGTAGCGATGGAGTTAAGGGACAGTTGGCCTTAGGGGAGCGAGCTCCGGGTTGCAGAGATCGTGGCTGAATTGCTGACTTAAAAAAGATTTTTGGGGGGCTCTCCCTTCTTTTTTTAGGCCGGGAAATTCAGCCTTATCCCAACCATCATTAACCTGGCCACAGCCCTCACATCCATTGGAGTGGTGAGTACTGAGGGGACCCACAATAGTTGCTGTTGTTGTAACCTTTGAGTGCTTTTCCAGTACAGTTTGAGGTGGGTGTGGGTGGGGGAAGGAGGGTTGAGATGGGTTCAATATTGACATTAGTTGCCTGATGCAAGTATAAAGGAAAAATTGCAATCAGTCTGTGCAATCTGACTAAGGGTAGCTGACACCGGCACCGTAGTTCCCTACAGGTCGAAATTCGGGGGGGGGGGGGGCTGAGGCTATGGGAATAGAGGAAACATATGCCTAAAGTACATGTAAAAATAGCCATGTTGTAACACTGAGGTTAAAGGAATGGGAAAACTGCCCCTGTTGCTAGGACAGTATGGACAGATTCCGAAAATCGTGTGAGATGTGGTTTTCGGGTACCAAAGTTGAATAATGGGAGTGTCGGAACGTTCATGAAGCGACAGGGACATGGGTAACAACGTCAGCCCATGGGAGCTGAATTGGGGGCTGAGACTGGAAGGAGTCCGGGCGTGGCTTAGCTCTGAAACGGAAACTAGTCTGCTCTGAGCTCTGAAGCTGCTGTTTGTGTAACAATAGGAGAATCTACTATTGGTATTGTACGTTTTGCTCATGTCATTATGTACATAAACAAGTTAATGAATCCTGCTGAATCTGGTCATCGGTCTGTGCTTTCTGGAAATGATTTCTGCAATAAATTCTAACAGGGGAGGTTGTCGATCAGCCACCAGCCGTCCCTTTCGACTGCTTGCCCGATCGACCCTCATTGCAACGTGGTGTAAACTCCTACAGCAAAGGCCCGGTGTTTGCTGCGCTTTAGTTTCTTAATAAACCTCTGAACCCTAAAGTCAGGCTTTTGTGGTGTGCTGTCTGTTCAGTTTTTATTAAATGCAGCTATGCTCATAGTCAGTTTTTTCCCTGGACAGTAGTAGCAAGCCTTGGGGTGTCCCTCTTCATGTACTGATAATCTCTGCCCCCCACTTGTTTCCTTTGGCAGGTATCCTTCCTCTGTGACTGGATATTGCTGACGTTCATGAATAAGAACAAGGTGTATAGCACCCGAAAGTTTGACCAGGTATGGTAGCAGAAGCAGATCAGAGTCTTCATATTTTGGTCTTCCGTGTACTAGACTGGTTCATGGACGTAGACCAGTAAGAAGGACAGACAATCATGACTGTCCAAGAACACAACCATCACAGG